TAAACAAGCCTTTAAAAGGAGCCCTATGCCTCAAAGGATTCCTTGAAGGAACCCTAAAATGATTCCTTACTAGGCTGTAGGCTGTAGGAACCGCTCGCCTCATCTTCGCAGCCGCGCATGAGCCAAAGGCTTCGAGAGGCTCTTTGCTTCGCTCCGAAGCTTAAGTTTATACCTGGCCTGAAGAACCTACCGTTTGTGAAGGACTTTTGTGAAAACATCATAGCTACGAACCCACAAAAAGGTTGGTTATATACTGTCATGGCAAGGGTTTAGCAGCCTGGGGGCTCTCAGGGCGTTGGGTTTTAGGGCGCTGGGGGCTAGGCGTTTAAATTTAGGGCTTTCGAGCTTTAGGGGTTTAGGGTTTAGGGGAAGATTGCAGTTTGAGCTTAAACCCAAAATTTCCCAACAAAAACCTCAACCGCCAAACTCTGCAGTCCTAAACTCCACAACCTTAAGCCCCTCAAAATCTCAGATTCCCTAAACCCTAAACCCCAAACCCTAAACCCCAAACCCTATACCCTTACTAAACCCCAAGCCCAAAACCCTAAACCCCAAACCCTAAACCCCAAACCCTAAACCCTAAACCCTAAACCCCAAACCCTAAATCCTTCCAAAACCCTAAACTCTAAATCCTAAACCCTAAACTTCCCAAACCCTAAATCCTAAACCCTAAAGCCTAAATCCTAAACCCTAAACCCCAAACCCTACAGAGAAGCTTGGGGCTCACACCCTGCAAGCGGGGGTTGCGGTGCATCCTTCCCGCCGGGACCTGCATGCACTTCGGGATACGCATTTCGGGGTCTAGGGTGGGGTCTAGGGTTTAGGGAGTTTGGGCTCTAGGGTTTAGGGGCTTTGGGGTCTAGGGTTTAGGGACTTTGGGGTCTAGGGTTTAGGAGTTTTGGGTGTAGGGTTTAGGGAGTTTGGGGTCTAGTGTTAGGGAGTTTGGGGTCTAGGGTTTAGGGGTTTTGGGGTCTAGGGTTTAGGGATTTGGGGTTTAGGGATTTTGGGGTTTAGGGTTTAGGGAGTTTGGGGTTTAGGGATTGTGGATTTAACCCAGGCTTTAGATCCAGGCTTGAACCTTGGGGTAGTGCGGCCCGAGGATACTATGTGAGATCCGCTTATGGCATACTTTTAAGGGTTTTGGGCTTAGGGAAAGTCAGTCTTATTGGAACCCTTGTAGACCACATTTTTTAAACCCTAAACCCTAAACCCTAAACCCTAAACCCTAAACCGTGTTAGGAGCCTTTATAAGAACACGTTCAGCCAGACACGTCTTTTTGCGATGCTGTGCATGGCACATATCCAGAAGAGCACCTTGGGTGCTTTGCTGAACAGACACCGATCTACCGTAAGTGCTACAACAGATGGGCCTAAATAACTAGAATTAGGTATCCCTGAAAACTGCACATATCCCCAAACCCAAACTCATGCAACAAACAAGTGAAACCCTGGAGCCTCTACAGTAAACCGTATAATTACCCCCTAAGCCCTAACTCTAATAAAGGCCGTAGACACTTAATATAGGGACCTTCTTAATTAGAACAGGGTCTTGGGCCCATTCTAGTATAATTACGATAAGGAACCCCCAAAATATTACTGGTACTTATTTAGGCCCCTATAGTAGACATTTAGACACCCTGGGTGTGCTGGACGCCATGCCGGCCGTCGGCTGTGAAAATCCGGCAGCGGAGCACAAACTCAGGCAAAGTCTGAGAGAAAGAGGGTGTGAGAGCTTGGTTGTTCTTTTGGTTTAGGGTTTAGGGATTAGGGTTTAGGGTTTAGGGTTTAGGGTTTGGGGAAACAGTGTTTGAGAGCTTGGGTTTAGGGTTTAGGGTTTAGGGAAAGACGGTTTGAGAGCTTGGTTTCAGGGTTTAGGGTTTAGGGTTTAGGGTATCGGGTGGGGGAAAGAGGGGTTGAGAGCTTGGTTTGGGGGGTTAGAGTTCATGGTTTGGGGCCGAGCGCTTTGGGAGTTTAGGGTCCTAGGATGTTGCAGGAATTGGGATTTGCGGGTACTGTATGGACCTAAATGATTACCTATCTTATTTTTTTTTTTGGGGGGGGGTTCCTTATCATAATCATACTAGAAAGGACCCCAAAACCCTGTTCTAATTAAGGCCCCTACATTATTGGGGAGTTGAGGGTTTAGAACAAAAGCTTTGAGGGTTTCACCAGTCGGGGGTCGGGCCTTCAGCGTGGCCTCTATAGGGCTTCGAAGGGGCTGAGGGTTCGCAAGCCAAGCTCAAATTTCGACAGCTTCCCAACCCAAGTGGGCAACGTGGTTTCTTGTCGACAGATACTGCCTCAAATCTCAATAATGAAGTCCGGACAGCTCTGATCAGATCCCTTCAGCCCTCCGATATCTTCCTTCATCGCACCAAGA